CGATGGTTCAGTAAGTAGAGGAAAGAATTTTGAACAAATTTTGTGATTGTTCAGGGAAGTATTATTATTACAACTCAAGAAATCTATCAGTTTTGCTTTCATGCAGTTTCTCATTTCTTGTTCTTATGTTTGTTTTGGCTGTTTTCCACAATAGGATGTGAACATGTTGTTGTATTTTATCTCCGTGAGCATTTGTAACAGGGGTGGGGTGGGGTGTTACAAGCAATTTCTTACAATATACCTTTTTGTGCACACTTGTACTGTATATTGCTGAGCTACAACAATATAGAATACAATTTTTAAAATTATAAAAAAAGAATTTTGTTAGTGGTTTGCAAGTAAGCTCAGAATTATAAAATTTATGTCTATTCAAACAAATGCCAAAATAATTATTTTTTCTATCACTCTTAATAGCCATAAATAACCTGAATATCATTTTATTGATCCAAAGACATTTTGCACAGCTTAAAGGCACGTTTGACAGGCTGAAAAAAAGGTTTCGTGCTGGTCAACCTCTCTTATTGCCTCAATTTAACCTTCCCTTACATTTGTTCTTTCACAGTATGCGGTGGACTGCAACAATGTCCAGAATATGCCTACCATTACCTTTTTCATTAATGGTTCCCAGTTCCCACTTCCTCCTTCTGCTTATGTCTCCAATGTAAGTATGCTTTTCTAAATTCTTCAGTGCATTATTGGAAACCACTTCATTTTAAGATGAATTGATGTTCCATATCTCAATAATAACATCACACAGAAGTAACATTATGCTCATGCTACTTTATTTATACAGAAAATATGTCGCTTAATATGGAGCTATCAGATCTCTAATTTACCTTCTATAATTCAGTCAGAATACTTGCAGATGACACAGGTGGCTGCTCTTGAAGAATCAGCTGCATATTGAGGCACATACAATAAGGATTTTGTACCATGTCTTTGCAAGGAAGCCCTAGAAAATGATACTGCTAGGCAATTGCATAATAAGGTGGAGAGCCTGAGTTAGACAATGTTTTTATGTCATGTAATTTAATTACAATCCAAATCCAGATTCCATTAAAATATGCTTGATGTTCCTTCTTTTCTGCAATAGGGGCAGAATCTGAAACAATTTATTTATTTTTCTTTTACAGAACAATGGCCAGTGTTCACTTGCAATTGAGCCAACATATGTGTCTTCCTCAACTGGGCAGCCTCTATGGATCCTGGGTGATGTCTTCCTTAAAGAGTATTATTCTATTTTTGACATGGGAAACAACAGGGTTGGTTTGGCCCCATCAGCCTAAACAAATATTAGTTTTCTTTCTGGATTAATGGAGCTGATTTTTGGATCCCAACAAAATATTTCTAATTAACTTTATACAGAAAATTGTACGTTTCTCAACTGACATCCAATCTTAGCCCCTTTACATAAAGTTTGTTCACTTATCATTGCTACAAAGAAATAAATTCGAACATGCCAAACTAGTGTTTGTAATATTCATTCTTTAACAATGTATATATTTTGGGTTTCCTTCCACAATATATTGTTTTTTGTTCCCAGTGAAATTCATCCTCTTCTCAATTGCTTTTTCGTAGTAAGAAGAAAAATGGGAAAAGCTGGTTCAAAATATGGGAGAAATGAAAATGAAAAATAATACGTACTAACTGCAAAATGTCATGCTTGAGATAAGGCATTTTGGTAATTTTTTTTTTTTTCTAGAAGCATTTTTTCCAGAAGGAAACATGTTTTGCAATACTGCCACCTAATGGATTTTGGTCCATTTGTTGGCTCAGAAGTTTGCATTTATTTCAACCATGAACTTTTTTTCCATTGTCCCAAAAGGCAACTGGACTTTGTGTTTTCTTGGAAACATTTTGCTTTTCATCCAAGAAGCTTGTTCAGTTCTGACTGAATGGTAGAGGGTGGAAGGATTTATACTCCAGTCCTTGTAATCATCTGGTCGTTAGCACTCTTTCTGAGATTGTTGAGGCCACTTGGAGGATTTCTGTGCCCTCAGGATCAGATGAATAGTGCAAACGGGTATGGAAGCAAACAGATATGGACAACTCGCCACGGCCAACTCACCATGTACTATTCTTTCAATATTAGTATAACTCCTATGGCAAGTTATTCTGTAATGAGTTGGTCATGGCGAGTTGTCCCATGGTGAGTTGTCCCAGCAAGTTGGCTGCAGTAAGATGGCCATGGAGAATTGGTTGTGGCAAGTTGTCCTAGACCCTTTTTGGAACTGCTGAAAGGACTGTGTTGTAAACAGGAGATACATGGTGTCATATCTCTCCTCCTTTGTTTGTTGACAGAGGGCTGTTCAGTCTTAATGTAGATGATCTCTTTGACCCCTCATTCAAACCTATGGTCCTCTCTGTACAGAATGTGGACTTTGCTGTCTTCAAGAAAGTGACCTTTATCTTTCAAATGTAGGTGGACTGCTGAAACTTGTCCTGATGGGTTTGGTCTCCTATGTTGTTCCATGCGTTTGTGAAGTGGTTGTTTTGTTTCTCCAATGTACAGATCTGCACATTTCTTACCGCATTGTGCTGCATATATCACATTACTCAGTTTTTGTCTGAGTGTTTTAAGGCCCTCCTTGACATGTTTTAGTTCTTTTTCTTTCCCAACTTTGCTGGTAGGCAAACTTTCAGCCCAGTGTAGAGTTCTGATCAGCAACCTGAGAGGCATTCATTATTGATTGGAAAAAGGGATGCATTTTTGTCACAGGTGTCACGTGGCCATAAGAACAAGCTGTAAGAGCTGTGGTGGCACCGTGGTTAGAATGGAGTATTGCAGGCTCTTCTGCTGACTGCCAGGAGTTTGATTCTGACCTGCTCAAGGTTGATGTGGGATACCGGGACCTGAGTCTCCCGGCTTGGTTTCAGACCTCGTCCGGGGGCTGATTCTTGAGTTGTCACGGACTCTCATGGTAAAGAAAAGACAGACACAAAGCTGCCTCGGATGAGAGTCGAGAGAGAAGAAGTCCAAAGAGCAAAAGTGGCTTCTCTCCCTCCCAGGCTCTCCTTTATTAGCATACATCAAAGCAAGTTGCAGGCAGAAACTTTTGCAGGGGGGTGAGGGTTACAAACAAGGGAGTTTAGGGGGTTAGAGACAGCCAAGGTTTTACAAAATGTATCTTATCTATTACATGGCTTGTACAACTAACAGTTCACAGTAAAAGTTGCCATTGTGGTTCACATTG